GAGGCTTTCATTCCACAAAATTTTGCACGCATTTTGATAGCATAAGTGCTGCATTATGCTAAGATTCGATTGCACTTCAAAAAATTTCTAAAATTTAAGATCAATTTTTTGTGAAATGATGGACACTGATTTTCATCTCTTCAATCAGTAATTCTGCAGAATTTTGGTAAAAGTGTAGTTACTTCATATCTCTAGGAATAACCTTGTCTTAGCCAATGGTGCATTTGCGTATGTTACTCTTTTAAGTGCTTCCCTTGAAATTATGGCTTAATATTCGAGGCCAGGTTGTGCTTAATATCGCTGCTTTGAGAAGTGTCAATTAGAGCAATTTAAATTGAAGTAGGCATACGCATGTGGTTCAACAATTTTAATTTGTTTTTCTCCATATATCAACAATAAGGATGCTCTAATTCAATTGCATCAATGAGATGATACAGAGGATTATAACAAATTCTCATATTGCCACATAAACGTAACTGAAAGGGAATAAATTTGATGAATGCCGTTACGCATGAATTCGTTGAGATACTATCTATAATATACCGTAATATTGTTTACGCAATGTTGCTTAATGCCCAATAATAAGTGCAAATGCATTGCAAACCACTTACATAGTAGTTTAAATAAACTTTCTCAGTCAAGGAGACGACCTTCACATAAGATTAGTTGCAAAAAATAACAACTCAATTTTTCTGATGCTCAATCAATTAAAATCTATTTTTAACGTCCTGGGCAACGAATAACATTCATATTCGCTTATTTCGCAAAGCAATAAAAAAGTGCCTGGATTGCAAAGAAAAATAAAGTAATATAAACTCTGAAGCACAATCGAATAACATAAATTCAATTACTTTGGCGATTTTAGTTGTAAATATGAACCAATCAGTTATAGTCTAATGGAATTTATTGATTTTGTGAAATAAGTAATTTTAGGATTAATGAATTATTTACTTTCCACTTGAAACTTACTGTGCAGAAGGTGCTTATATTTCTAAGTAGAACATAATGGAATTGCTTCGCCAAAGAACCTTCTGGAATTTTTGAACGTACATATTGTTACTCGTTGGTCGATTGGTAACCGTGTTCATGCAATGAGGAAAAACATTGAATTTGACTATTGTCTAACAAAGAGTGCAATAAAAGTTCGTTAAGTGAAATGGTTGCTTAACAATTTAATGAAATATTTTCTAATGGAATTTATCTATAAAGAATATAGTATATTACTCCTTGCAAAAAATGCGAAAACCGAAATTGTACTATGCAAGATTGGACTTGCATAACTCCGTTTTACTCAAAGGTCAATATATAGCTTTCGATACAATATCATTAGTTAATTATTTTTAGGCCACTGATATTAAAAATTGAAATAAGATCTCTACGGCCTTCAAGAAACCAATATTTTCGGATATTAGGCAAGTAATTTAATGATTATGTGCTTTAGAAATAAAATTTGTTTAAACAAGCTCATATGGTTTTATTATGGACATGAAGTTTAAAAACAGTGTGGTGATCTGGATATTGAAACGTCATTTTCTAAATAATTGCCATGTGAAATTAGTTTACGTAAATGCGTTTATGGTTTAAGTTTTTAAGGTGTTTTGATAAATCATTTCAAATCACGTTTACGGTATACGTCAATATTCTTCTCAAACATTGAAATATTGCTTAATCCATGTAAACGGACCGCGAAACGTGTGATTTTACTAAGACTAAAAGTTTATTTTTTGAAACTTCAGAGCACATTTATCTCAAAAGATCCATCAAATTTTACATATTTTATAGGAAGAGGAAATTTCCGTCCATATTTTGAGTAAGATGATTTAGTTAAAAAAGATAGAAATCAAGTCAGTGTCGATATTAATGTTAATTAGGACAGTATCAATGATAAAACAAATTCGTTTTAATCGTAAAAGCAAAACCTTTTAAAAGGAAGGCACAGGTTATGGAAAAAATATTTCCATGTTATGCAGAAATCATTAATTATTTTGGGTATATAATTTTCTGGAGAGTGCTGTCAAACATATCGAGCATTCTTCATCCCATCGCTCAAAAATGATAAAATCAAAATATGGACGAACACTTTTCAGCACTGTAACAAATATGCAGTAAATTACAAGAAACTATTATGGCATAAAACACTTGATTGTGTAAATTATTACATAATTCTCTTATTCATGGATTAGTCACTGCAACGATATATCTTATTTTAAAATGTAATTTAGAGTTTTCCTTCCCGAAACGAAAAAGAAATATCAACAAGGAAATTGAAAAATAGCCTGTTTATTTCAGTAAACGTCAAATTTAATTTTTTCGAAAGATAACATTTCTGCTTTTGCCAACTAGCTTCAGTCATGACTGACATTGTTGGGAAAAAACACCGGGCCAAATACTACTTGAGGGCGCTATCTTTTGACGCCGTATTAATTACTGTTCATGGAGTAGATTTAAAGAAGACGTCTTATTCCTAGGTATTGTGTAATTAAGTGCAGAATCTTTCATCAATCTCCATTGCTCATAACGAAGGAACAGTTTCTTATTTGAATAACTTTTGAAACAGTTGGAATATTTGAACTCTGATAATGTTGACCTCGTTTATAGGTATTTAGCGGTAGCAATGGGCAATTTGATAAATGGATTGTTAAAACCCCCTTATATTTAACTAGTAAGGTTGATCTCATTGGATTTTCATTTATTGACTTCGTTCTAAGGCATCTCATTTTCTTATGTCATTCATATATCAATTTAACTCATTAAATCAACGAAACTCGAATTTATTAAAAAAATAATAATACTCCTTTATTCAATATTTAAGACAAAAGATTTCATATGTGTTAAATTCTATTTATTAATTGAATAGAATTTGAAAGGCTGTGGAATAATGAGCAATATAAATAAGAAAGTGAGAATTGATAAAATATTGTTCAATCGGCGACTTCAAATTCTATTACAGCTTTTTGTACCACCTTTCACACTCATAGTCACCAAATCGCGCGACCTATAATGAGAAAATGTTTAGATTTATAGAGTTTTTTGTGAATGATTAATATAATTTTCGCCTTACCGTTTTCATCTGCCCATTTTCAATCATTCTCAGCGTTTGGAACTTTTTCCCTTCTCTGGTTTGGTCTTGCTTCATGACACCATTTTCGATAGTCATGATTGATTTAATGATTTTGGCGTCTGGAGTATTCTCCTGGAACTCTTTTCCAAGGCTAAATTCAATCTCAGTCTTTTGTAATTTATTTTCACTGCAAAATTTGTATTGACCCTGCTGTAGTTGTGAAAACTCGACGATGTTTTTCATGTCATCAACAATTTCATAATATTTTTTGTCCACACCTAGTTGCTTCAAAAGTTCTCCAAAACCCTGACTTTTCTGTAGCTCCCACTTTCCTAAAAACGGTTCCATGCCTTTTTACAGTTTGGTCTTCTTAGGAGGAAACAGCTCATTTATACTAGCAAATTGCCACACCCAATGATCACATGTTGGTATAATTGACAAATCCATTGACATCATGTTTAGGTTATAGTAAATAAGATCATTAGCCTCCAGGTTGAAATTTTTACGTCTATAAATCATTCAACCAACGTGGTCAATCATAGAGAAAATAAAAAAACTTTATCGATTCGGTTTACCAAATCCGAAAATATTATCTAGAAACGAAGTTCAGCTATTGTTTTGTAAGAATTTAAAGATAGAAAAGGCCAAACACACTATTGAACAGCTTTATATAAGTAATATTTAAGTATAATTAAGAATAATTATACTTTTAAATTTTTGAAGACATTTTTAGTCTATGCATTTACATGTGGAATTTGTAAGAAAATATATGCTCAATTTTATCCTCAAGGTAATAAGAATCAAATGTCAAAATATTACCAAATCACTCAAACCAATAGTGCTGACCTTTAGATGATCCTTGACTTTTGATATGATCAGTCACCGTAAACTTGTAATCGTGTTTGATCATGTACATTTTGCTATCCTGACAAATACCCAATTAGCTAATTGTATTTAAGTTAATTTTGGCGTTGGGCAACTCGAAATCATTTGGTTTCTCATTAAACAGAATATTAAACTCATTGAATCGAACAAAGAATGGAAGTAAGAATTTGATTTTTGATTGAGATCACCACTTACGACGATGAAAGGTTACAGTGGTTTCTTCACAAACAAAAAATGATTTGTTCACAATGTTTATTATGTTCAAAACCACCAGCATTTATTTATTACCGAAATTGTCACAGCTTTTAAGACGGAACAGAGTAGATAGAATGACGCTTATTACCACAGATGTGCTATTGACATGAAATCTATATTGACGCAAGTATTAAATTCCATTAATGGTCAAACTAAATTCAAAATAAATGTGTCTTGTGGAAGCTAAGAAGGAGGAATTTGAAATGAAATTAGATCTGTAGTAATATTATTTATAAAATTGAAATTTGATTTTACGAATCTGCTACCCTGTGCTATGAATGCCTTGATTTTCCTTTTTATGACTCGACTACATTTAATTCTCTGCACATTTCCGACAATTTTTACCAAGTAGTTTCAATCATATTCAACCTCTTAGACCTTGGTGATTTAATGTTCTCAATTGCATTATAACAGACAAGGGGATTCACAAAATTGGTAGTAAAATATTCTATTATCATATTATATTATCAAGTAAACTGAGTTCCGATTTTTCATGTTTAAATACTATATATATTTTTATATACGATTTAATTTTGATAAATGACAAAAAAATAATCAATAGCTTATTGCGACATTACAAGATTCGGGTTTATATTTTCATTCGCAGCAAAATACATACTTAAATAAATGCAGAGTTAATATCTCTACTTAGATTTCTGAATAAAAATTAATTTTAAAATGATAGTTTGCGATAAATTTATTAATTCTTTTGCTTGTGCTGAATAAATTTGTAAAAAACGCAAATGACAGATTAAAATTCAAGCCACATGATATGTTGTAAGCATTAATTTATATGTTAGTACCGAGATTTAAAAATAGCTTCTTGAGTGCATCCTTGAAGTGTAAAAACGATGCATATAATGAATATACCAGGAAGGGCAATTAATTAAAACAACGCTAAACATCTGTAGAACGCGTTTTTTGGAAGTCGTGGTTTGCAAAAATGGAGAAAATCGGCAATTTATTAATTACCCTCTAACGTTTTAATCAGATTATTCAGTACTTCACTTCGTTCGAAATTAATTTATTCGCTTATGTTATTGAAATTATTTCATATAGAACGCCAGTAAGAAGCTTAAACACAAATATATTCAGCTAGAAATCAATTTTTTGATCAAGAGATATTAATTCGATATTCTAATTAATTATTTAATCATTGAAATGACCAGATAAATTAACTTTATGCTGCGATCTATAAAGCTCGAATTTAGATGGAAATATTGTCAAAATAGTAGGATAATGTTTTAAGACGCTACTTTTATTTGAAAACACGTATTACACATCAAAATTAGTACCCACACATTTCAAATTTCTAGTCTTCAAGTACTAAACGTAACGATTTCGTTGTGAGCATAAAATGTATCTACTACCTAAGTGGTAAAAATTGAAATTCAATTGCAATAAAATCGAAAATACAGTAGGAAGAATAGAAGTGGAATAAAAAAGTGGCGAGAACCATAATAGCATTGGTATCTAGTCATTTTTTTATTTGTTCACGAGTTAGTTTAACGAAAAGCTTAGTTCGATAAATTCAATTACATGCATTTTAATGCAAAAGGTAGGTATAAATATTATTATTTATTATGATACAATAATGAGCCATTGAACTATTTACTTGTATATCTAAAACAAAATTTTAAAGGAGCTACATGTCTTTGACAACGGTGAACTACGTTATATCTTAAATGAAATAAGTGGAACATACACTAAAAAATTTTTGCCATGCATAAATAATTGCATTCGCAAAATTGAGTCATTGAACACGTTTTCTTATTATTTGCTACCACATTAGTGATTTTCGATATTTATTTCTTTAAATATATTATTTATTGAATTCTTTTATTATTGACTTATTAACTGCTTCAGCTAATACAAATGCCAATTTCTTCCATGATGTCTCAAACTTCACTTTATTGCTAGAAATAACTAAATTTTGTTCAAATGTTTTGCGTTGGGGAAAAAAGTTCCAGTGTTTTACAAGGAATCAAAAGTCAATATGGTATACTATATTTTAAGTCAACATGCAGAAGAAAAGGTTTCAGTAGTATTGCCAGTTTTAAATGTTCAAGGGCGCAACCTTGAAATTAATTGGTTTCTAAATTAATTGCAATAAATTGTTCACACTGCAGAGCATTTTGGTGAATGCTGAATGTTTTCGTCTGACTTGATCCTTATGTGATTTACAAAACCATGCGTTTTGTATTGAGTGTAATTTGTTAATGTATTTACTACATATTTTATATTTATGATTTTGAATTATGTCCAAATATGTTTGTGATTATAGCATAATTATATAGGATAGGAAATAAATTATTTCCTTAAGTAAGTAACTTCTTCGCATCTCACAAGTCACGTTTACATGATTTTTAAAGAGAAATTTTAAATAAACGGTAAACGTCAAATTTAAATGAATTGTTCTTTATTATTCTATTTTATTTTTTAATTAATTTTGGCAAAAGATGTTTGTTTCTTTCCCCTATTTGTCACTGAATGGCGTTGTTGTCTTCATTTACAACTGGGCCATTCATTCATTGTTCTCATTTGAAAAAATATATAAATGAAATACGCCATTTGCACCATCTCTGGACACCGGACCTCAGATATTCTGTCAATGACTTTAAAAGCTTGTATAGGGACACCAAATTGTTGTATTCGGTCTAAAGTGAGAGCGATTTTTCACGGCTATTTAACTATTTTTAGCCATTTCTTCCAATAAATTATCATTGGGCTATCCAACGTTAACTCTAAATGAAGCCTGAACTTTTATAACAAGTTTCAATTTCAAATACAACTGCGTACACTATAGTCACTATATGTTCATCTTGGCAAAACAACATTCTATTTTAAAGCAAAAATTTAAGTATTTGATTTTTCAAGTTAAATTTAACTCCCAAATTTCATTTTAAAAGGCATGGGACAATTTTGTGAAGAAACTGATATGTAATTGTAAAGCAAATAAGAAACAGTGATTTAATGTTTTGTTATTTACTTCAACATTTGCCCACTTTCTTATTGAAGCGAATTTAAAATGTGTGCTCGCCTACTCACAATCATTGGCATTTTATCAAAAAATTGAATATCTCAACTCTTTAAATATTGCTAACATAAGTAATTTTTCAAGCTGATTAAACAAGGCGATTTGACTGTTAAATATCTATTAAATAATTAACTTGCTAAACAAATCTAAATTTTTTATCTCATGAATTGTATATGGAGAAAGCTTAAAGCTGGCTATATTGTAATATTAATTAAAAATTCATGCTTATATTATTAATGATTATTAATATTAAAACTAATCATTAATAATTTTATTAAAGCGATGATTGCTACATTTACATTAATTGCAGTAACCATTTAGTAATGCAAAACGATCCATGATAACAGAGCAAAAAAAATTTATTTAATTTCTTACAGTATCCGTTATTGCATTTATTAAAATGGAAGACAAATTTAGTGCTTTTAAGCGAGGCCATTGGCCTTAAATTGGATACTGCCAAAGTCATCCCCGCATGAGATTACGTCCTTTTACTGCAAAATGTGGAGTGGAAGGCTCAACATTATTATGGTCAAATATATACACGTACACATAGTAATGGAGGTATTCAATTATTTCTTCCATATACAGAACACATTTTAGTCAAAATAATCTTGGGTTTTGAGCTTCTATACAATATTTTAACTTTAAATCAATTTATGGTGGCAAACAATAAAATTTTCAAGACAAAAGTTCATTTAAAACAATTAATGTTTGAATGGGCATTAACTATGCATAATCGTTTAAGATTTCATATCAATTATTTTTGTAAATGTTATAATAAAATTGTGCAAACATGTAGAGCAAAATAAGCTAATGCTTAGTTTCTGATAAAAAAATTTTGAAGATATGAACTACATTTTTTACGGTTATGAAGAGATTAAAAAGTGGCTTTCTGAGGGCTGAAAGCACGCGCTATCAGTAAAAAATGTGCCGAACTACTTTTTTGAATACTTTCATTTTTAGTTCCAAATGAATCAAAAGTGCTTTACTTTAAATGAAAATTATTGAGACAGGGTAAAGCATGTCCGTGAATTACTTCAACGGAATTTTGTTTGTACGGAACAATTTTATTTCGCGCCTATTATTTCATACAGAAACGTTCAACAATCCACGTCCTATTAATATTGAAAAAACTATTTATTGCGAATTAAATTCGACCGAGCACTAATAA